CCCAAGCGAGACGTCGTATCCCAAGCAAGGCGTCGTATCCCAAGCAAGACGTCGTATCCCAAGCAAGGCGTCATATCCCAAGCAAGAGGTCGTATCTCAAGCAAGACGTCGTATCCCAAGCGAGGCGTCGCATCCCAAGCGAGGCGTCGCATCCCAAGCAATACGTCGTATCCCAAGCAAGACGTCGTATCCCAAGCGAGGCGTCGTATCCCAAGCAAGACGTCGTATCCCAAGCAAGACGTCGTATCCCAAGCGAGGCGTCGTATCCCAAGCGAGACGTCGTATCCCAAGCAAGACGTCGTATCCCAAGCGAGACGTCGTATCCCAAGCAAGACGTCGTATCCCAAGCAAGACGTCGTATCCCAAGCGAGACGTCGTATCCCAAGCGAGACGTCGTATCCCAAGCGAGACGTCGTATCCCAAGCGAGACGTCGTATCCCAAGCAAGACGTCGTATCCCAAGCGAGACGTCGTATCCCAAGCAAGACGTCGTATCCCAAGACGTCATATCCCAAGCAAGACGTCGTATCCCAAGATGTCGTATCCCAAGCAAGGCGTCGTATCCCAAGCAAGGCGTCGTATCCCAAGACGTCGTATCCCAAGCAAGGCGTCGTATCCCAAGCAAGACGTCGTATCCCAAGCAAGACGTCGTATCCCAAGCGAGGCGTCGTATCCCAAGGCGTCGTATCCCAAGCAAGACGTCGTATCCCAAGCAAGACGTCGTATCCCAAGCAAGACGTCGTATCCCAAGCGAGGCGTCGTATCCCAAGCGAGACGTCGTATCCCAAGCAAGACGTCGTATCCCAAGCGAGACGTCGTATCCCAAGCAAGACGTCGTATCCCAAGCAAGACGTCGTATCCCAAGCGAGACGTCGTATCCCAAGCGAGACGTCGTATCCCAAGCGAGACGTCGTATCCCAAGCGAGACGTCGTATCCCAAGCAAGACGTCGTATCCCAAGCGAGACGTCGTATCCCAAGCAAGACGTCGTATCCCAAGACGTCATATCCCAAGCAAGACGTCGTATCCCAAGATGTCGTATCCCAAGCAAGGCGTCGTATCCCAAGCAAGGCGTCGTATCCCAAGACGTCGTATCCCAAGCAAGGCGTCGTATCCCAAGCAAGACGTCGTATCCCAAGCAAGACGTCGTATCCCAAGCGAGGCGTCGTATCCCAAGGCGTCGTATCCCAAGCAAGACGTCGTATCCCAAGCAAGACGCCGTATCCCAAGCGAGACGTCGTATCCCAAGCAAGACGTCGTATCCCAAGCAAGACGTCGTATCCCAAGCAAGACGTCGTATCCCAAGCAAGGCGTCGTATCCCAAGCAAGACGTCGTATCCCAAGCGAGACGTCGTATCCCAAGCAAGGCGTCGTATCCCAAGCAAGACGTCGTATCCCAAAACATCGTATCCCAAGCGAGACGTCGTATCCCAAGCAAGACGTCGTATCCCAAGCAAGACGTCGTATCCCAAGCAAGGCGTCGTATCCCAAAACATCGTATCCCAAGCAAGACGTCGTATCCCAAGCAAGGCGTCGTATCCCAAGCAAGACGTCGTATCCCAAGCGAGACGTCGTATCCCAAGCAAGGCGTCGTATCCCAAGCAAGACGTCGTATCCCAAGCAAGGCGTCGTATCCCAAGCAAGACGTCGTATCCCAAGCGAGACATCGTATCCCAAGCAAGACGTCGTATCCCAAGCAAGACGTCGTATCCCAAGCGAGACGTCGTATCCCAAGCGAGACGTCGTATCCCAAGCCAGACGTCGTATCCCAAGCGAGACGTCGTATCCCAAGCAAGACGTCGTATCCCAAGCGAGACGTCGTATCCCAAGCAAGACGTCGTATCCCAAGACGTCGTATCCCAAGCAAGACGTCGTATCCCAAGCAAGATGTCGTATCCCAAGCAAGGCGTCGTATCCCAAGCAAGACGTCGTATCCCAAGCGAGACGTCGTATCCCAAGCAAGACGTCGTATCCCTAGCAAGATGTCGTATCCCAAGCAAGACGTCGTATCCCAAGCAAGGCGTCGTATCCCAAGCAAGGCGTCGTATCCCAAGCGAGGCGTCGTATCCCAAGCAAGACGTCGTATCCCAAGCAAGACGTCGTATCCCAAGCGAGGCGTCGTATCCCAAGCAAGACGTCGTATCCCAAGCAAGGCGTCGTATCCCAAGCAAGACGTCGTATCCCAAGCAAGACGTCGTATCCCAAGCGAGGCGTCGTATCCCAAGCAAGACGTCGTATCCCAAGCAAGGCGTCGTATCCCAAGCGAGGCGTCGTATCCCAAGCAAGATGTCGTATCCCAAGCAAGGCGTCGTATCCCAAGCAAGGCGTCGTATCCCAAGCAAGGCGTCGTATCCCAAGCAAGACGTCGTATCCCAAGCAAGACGTCGTATCCCAAGCAAGACATCGTATCCCAAGCAAGATGTCGTATCCCAAGCGAGGCGTCGTATCCCAAGCAAGACGTCGTATCCCAAGACATCGTATCCCAAGCGAGACGTCGTATCCCAAGCAAGGCGTCGTATCCCAAGCAAGACGTCGTATCCCAAGCAAGGCGTCGTATCCCAAGCGAGACGTCGTATCCCAAGCAAGGTGTCGTATCCCAAGCAAGGCGTCGTATCCCAAGCGAGGCGTCGTATCCCAAGCGAGACATCGTATCCCAAGCAAGACGTCGTACCCCAAGCGAGGCGTCGTATCCCAAGCAAAACGTCGTATCCCAAGCAAGACGTCGTATCCCAAGCAAGGCGTCGTATCCCAAGACGTCGTATCCCAAGCAAGACGTCGTATCCCAAGCAAGACGTCGTATCCCAAGCAAGGCGTCGTATCCCAAGCAATGCGTCGTATCCCAAGCAAGACGTCGTATCCCAAGCGAGACGTCGTATCCCAAGCGAGGCGTCGTATCCCAAGCAAGACGTGGTATCCCAAGCAAGACGTCGTATCCCAAGCAAGGCGTCGTATCCCAAGCAAGACGTCGTATCCCAAAGCAAGACGTCGTATCCCAAGCAAGACGTCGTACCCCAAACAAGACGTCGTACCCCAAGCGAGACGTCGTATCCCAAGCAAGACGTCGTATCCCAAAGCAAGACGTCGTATCCCAAGCAAGACGTCGTATCCCAAGCAAGGCGTCGTATCCCAAAGCAAGACGTCGTATCCCAAGCAAGACGTCGTATCCCAAGCAAGACGTCGTACCCCAAACAAGACGCCGTATCCCAAGCGAGACGTCGTATCCCAAGCAAGACGTCGTATCCCAAAGCAAGACGTCGTATCCCAAGCAAGGCGTCGTATCCCAAAGCAAGACGTCGTATCCCAAGCAAGACGTCGTATCCCGAGACATTTTTTCCTCGTCAAAACACGACGTTTACCAAAGCAACGTATACCGAGGTATAAGACTGTATAGGTCTCGGCGTGTCCGGGCTCCACCTCCAGCCCTTTCCGAAACCCCTCGGCTCCCACGTGCCCCCTAAAGTTTAGCATGTAACTGGGCATGGAAGTGGCTATGTTAATAAGAGATTAGCATGATGTTAATGTGAGAGATTAGCATGTTAATGTGAGAGATTTGCATGTAACTGGGCACCGAAGTGGCTATGATAATGTGAGAGATTAGCATGTTAATGTGAGAGATTAGCATGATGTTAATGTGAGAAATTAGCATGATGTTAATGTGAGAAATTAGCACGAAATAACAGCTGGCATGGGCAGGTATGATGGAAACATCAGTCAATGAAGACTTTACCTGGTTAATAACGCTCTTCCAATGACTGCTCAGTTTGTACCCATCCTCTCGGTTGAAGTCGTGTCTGTTTATATATCTGGATGGCTTCATGAACAGATCTCTGAAGGTAGCCGGTAGGTTTGCAGAGTACCTCAGTCTTGGACAAATCTATTTCGTGCGAGCCCACAGCGTTAAAGCAATGATCAGCAACGGCAGCGATATTGGTCCTAACGTGTTTCAGATCTGCCTTGTGTTCACGAACGCCGATGATCTGGTAATTGCTGCTCACTCAGAGGAGGAGTTGGAGACGCTGCTGCTGAACCTGGAGCTTGCCACTAAGAGGTGGGGCCTTACCATCAGCCCCACTAAAACTAAGCACCTGCCTGGGTATTTTGTACCATCGGACACTCCACCCACACAACTCCCAATTGGTGATGGGGCAGTTGTGGAGAGCGAAGAATTTCCCACCAAGACCACCCACCACACCCACCACGACCACCACCAAGACCACCCACGACCACCCACCACGACCACCACCAAGACCACCCACGACCACCCACCACACCCACCAAGACCATCCACCACACCCACCACGACCACCACCAAGACCACCCATGACCACCACCAAGACCACCCACCACACCCACCACCAAGATCACCCACGACCACCCACCACGACCACCACCAAGACCACCCACGACCACCCACCAAGACCACCCACCACGACCACCACCACACCCACCACCAAGATCACCCACGACCACCCACCACGACCACCACCAAGACCACCCACGACCACCCACCAAGACCACCCACCAAGACCACCCACCACACCCACCACGACCACCACCAAGACCACCCACCACACCCACCACGACCACCACCAAGACCACCCACGACCACCCACCACGACCACCACCAAGACCAACCACCACACCCACCACGACCACCACCAAGACCACCCACGACCACCCACCAAGACCAACCACCACACCCACCCACCACCACACCCACCGACCACACACACACCCACCACACCCACCCACCACCAAGACCACCCACCACACCACACCCACACACCACACACCGACCACACGGACAAAATGACACGGACAAGACGTTTGTAAATTGGCGACATGGACTGGCGTCTTTCTTTTATTGTTTGACAAGGAAGTTAATATTCCAACTCAATATGAAAACGCTCTCTGTCTTGTTTGTCTGTCCGTCTGTCTGTACGTCTGTCTCCCGTCTCTTGCTCCATCAGCCATCCCCCCCCCCCCGTGTCCCCCCCCCCCCCCCCCCGTGTCTCCAAGACGAGACTCGAAAAGTAAAAAAAAACGAAGAGCTACAGAACAGGCGTCACAGCTTCTACAACTCTACAGAGACCCTCACTCACAGCTGACGCTACAAAAACTACAAACTACAGCCGCTGACGCTACGCACACAGCCAGCGACCCATCATCTCAGCCGTGGCCGCTAAACTCTCTCCTGCGGAAGTGTGGCGGCCAGGTCGGGGTGAGCGTGCGGGCGAGGGTTATTGAGCGTGTGGGTGAATGTGTGTGGGTGAGCGTGTGGGCGAGCGTCTAGTCGTGTGGGTAAGCGTGTGGATGAATGTGTGGGTGAGCGTGCGGGTGAGCGTGCGGGCGAGCGTGCGGGCGAGCGTTTAGTCGCGAGGGTGAGTGCGTGGACGTTCGTGGCTGGGTGAGCGACTCTTCAGCTTGTCGAGGGACGGTGAGCGAGACTTGGAGGACGACTGCCGCTTCCTGCAACACACACGGCACAGCAACTCAGCACCACACACAGCACCACACTCAGAACTCAGCATCACAAAGATCCCCCGTGTAGCCTGTAACAGACTGTTGTGGCCAGTGCATACACACACGTGTACACACAACACAATAACCGCCATTCGCCACTAAGTGGCGGTGACATCACCACGACGCTTGTGCCAGGCCATGTGCACCTTGAGGCCACGTGAAGTGTCGAACGCCCGCTGGCAGGTCACGGGGCAGACCCAGCAGATGCCAAGGGTCGACTGACCGAGATGACCGAGATGACTGGCTGATGCACCACCTGTGCCCCCTACTGTGCCAACTTGCTGTGCTTTAGCCACCCGGAGCTCCTCTCGTTGTGAGCGTCGCTCCTCCGCCCTCCGTTGTTGTTGGAGGGCGACTGCCTCCAACTGCCCAGTAGCGTCCTTCACGAGCCTCCTCCACAGAGGCCGATCTTGACACCGCTGGTACCAGTCATCGGCTCTACGTCCTCCTGTACCACATCACTCCATCTCTTCTCCAGCCCGTGCAGAGCCCGTTTAGCCCCCTCTATCCGGCCGAACAAAAGCTGTTTGGGCATACGATGGCTGGGCATGCGGGCTACATGACCCAGCCAACGCAGCCTTGCCTGCCGGAGTAACTCACCGATGGGACTTTGTCCAGATCTTTCAAGGATTTGTGAGCTCCTCACACAATCTAGCCTGGTTAAACCCAGGATGGATCGTAGGCAGGCCAGCCTAAATGTTTCCAATTGGCGAAGATATTCCATTAGGGGGGTCCACGTTTCGCAAGCGTAGAGAAGGGAGGGAATGACCGTGGCCAAGAAGACCTGAAGCTTCGTGCGGAGCGACAGACCAGGTAGCTTCCACACAGTGTTATGCAACCGATGAAAAGATATTGCCGCTCGACTGATTCGGAGTGAGACCTCTGCTGCCAAACCGGAGCCGGTCATAAGCACACTGCCCAGGTATGGGAAACTCTCCACTCTCTCCACAACTGCCCCATCACCGATTGGGAGTTGTGGGGGTGGAGTGTCCGATGGTACAAAATACCCAGGCAGGTGCTTAGTTTTGGTGGGGCTGATGGTAAGGCCCCACCTCTTAGTGGCACGCTCCAGTCTCAGCAGCAGCGTCTCCAACTCCTCTTCTGAATGAGCAGCTATTACCAAATCATCGGCATACATAACGTGGTTGACCAATAGGGAGCAATCCCTTGATCGCACCCGGGCGTCGATCAGCCTCCCATTATATCTGTACTAAATGGAAATTCCCCTGGTACAGCTATTGAAGGCTTCACGAACTACGCAGTCGAAATAGATGTTAAATAATGTGGGAGCCAGAGGACATCCCTGTCGTACCCCAAAGTGTACAGGGAAAGGCTCTGACTCCCGGCCACGTAGTTTTACCCGGGCCCGCTCACCATCATGAAGGTCCTTAATGATCGTGAGCAGAGGGTCAGGGACTCCGAAAACACGAAGAACAACCCAGAGCCCAGGCCTACTGATGGTATCGTAGGCCTTGACCAGGTCAATAAAGCAGAGATGTAGGTCTTGTTGGAATTCCCTACACCTCTGCTGTAGCAGACGGACAGAGAATATGGCATCTGTGCAGGACCGCCCTTTCCTGAAACCGCATTGGGGTTCCGCAAGCCTCTCCTCAGCGTGCCTAGCAAGGCGATGTTGAATAATCCTTGCCAGGACCTTTCCAGGCACACTGAGGAGTGAGATGCCCCTGTAGTTGTTACAGTCTGTGCGGTCCCCCTTCTTACAGAGGGGGACCACCAGGGCATCCTTCCAATCCTGCGGAACCCGTCAAGTGGTCCAGACTGTTGTTATGATGTCATGTAGGGCAGTCTGTGCACAAACGCCACCCTCCCTCAGCATTTTGCTTGGGAGATCATCTCCGCCCGGTGCCTTTCCTGGTCTCAGACTCCGGATCACCTTCAGTACTTCCTCAACAGATGGCACCTCAGCCAGCCACTCACAGGGGGTGACCTCTTCCAATATTTGAGGCACCGCAGCCTCAGCAGGGTTATCCCCACTTTGTGCCGTGATGTTTTCCAGGCTGAGAGAATTCCCCTCCCCCAGGACCTCACAGAAATGCTCAGCAAATCTGCAAACTTGTTCATGGGGGTCAGAGATTGGATCACCATTCTTTCCCCTAATGATGGTAACAGGTGTGGCGCTGCAGGTTACTTTTTTGATGGAGTTAAATAGTGATTTGTGATCGCGGGCCACTGAGGCAGACTCCATCTCCTCAGCAACTCGCGACCACCACCCATCCTTGCAGCGCCTTACGGCTCTCCGAACCTCCGAGCGAAGGCTGCGGTAAACCTCCTCATTCTCTGACGTGGGATGCTGCAGCCGATGAGTGGGCCTGTCACTTTTTCTCAATTAACCTGAACACCTCCTCTGTCAGCCAGGATTTCTGGGGAGGTTTGGACCACGTACCCAAAGCAGCCATTGCAGCTGCATGAGTCACAGTCCTAAACCTCGCCCATTTCCCCTCGACATCAGGAGGAGTGGGGGACGATGCCAACCCCAGCTGCAAGCGATGATGAAATTCTCGCTTGCTACTTTCATCAGCTGAGACCAGGCCACTTTTGGTTGGAATGGGGTCCTGGATGTACACCCACCACCGGAGTGGAAGAATGGCAGGCGCATCTTACAGATGACTAGTCGATGGTCAGAGGGCAGATCAGCTCCACGGTAGGTCCTGGTGTCAAGGACATGGGCTCGCATCCGCTGGTCCGTTACTATGTCTCCAGCAGATGTTCTTGCTTGGACCCGGCATGCATCCATGATGTTGTGTGGATGCGCCGATGCCGGAAGAGCGTGTTGGTAATTACAAGCCCATGGGCTGCACAAAAATCTAGCAGCCTCCTACCGTTGTTATTGAGCTGATCTGGCCCATGCCTTCCAATCACTCCAGACCAGGTGCCAGCATCATGACCAACTCGGGCATTGAAGTCACCCAACAAGATGACTCTGTCCCGAGTGGCCACTTTAGCCAGACCTGTGACAGGAGGTCATAGAAGGCATCTGACTTTGCCTGCATCCCTCCACGGATGTTCGTCTTCGGTGGGGGCATAAGTAACCGACCACCACTCCTCGCCTCCGGTTGATGGGAAGGCGAGCCCAGAGTAGCCTGGGGCATACAGCTTCTCACACCTCACCGCCACGCTCACACGCCCCCTTTCATTCCTTTGTTCAGAAGAAGAGCCACTCCCTGTTGTTTGGCAGTATCCTGCCCCGAGTAGAGGACTGTCCACCCCTCATGGTGGCAGGAGCCAGAGCCGGTCCACCGGACCTCCTGAATGCCGCAGAGATCCAGGCGGTACCGGTCCAGCTCCCGACAGAGGAATGGCAGCCTCTCCTCCGCAGTGAGCGTTCGAACATTCCACGTGGCCACCCGCAGTGAGTAGTGGTGGTAGTGAGCAGCAGTATTAGTGGTGGGGAGTTGTGGTGGTGAGTAGTGGTGGTGAGTAGTGGTGGTGAGTGGTAGTAGTGGTGAGTAGTGGTGGTGAGTAGTGGTGGTGAGTAGTGGTGGTGAGTAGTGGTGGTGAGTAGTGGTGGTGAGTGGTAGTAGTGGTGAGTAGTGGTGGTGAGTAGTTGTGGTGAGTGGTAGTAGTGGTGAGTAGTGGTGGTGGTGAGTAGTGGTAGTGGTGAGTGTAGTGGTGAGTGTAGTGGTGAGTGTAGTGGTGAGTGCTGGTGAGTGGTGGTGAGTAGTGGTGGTGAGTAGTGGCGAGTAGTAGTGGTGAGTGTAGTGATGAGTGTAGTGGTGAGGGTGAGTGTAGTGATGAGTGTAGTGGTGAGGGTGAGTGTAGTGATGAGTGGTGAGTAGTGGTGGTGAGTAGTGGTGGTGAGTAGTGGTGAGTGGTGAGTGTAGTGGTGAGTGTAGTGGTGAGTAGTGGTGGTGAGTGCTGGTGAGTGGTGGTGAGTAGTGGTGAGTGCTAGTGGTGGTGGTGAGTAGTGGTGAGTAGTGGTGGTGGTGAGTGGTGGTGAGTAGTGGTGAGTAGTGGTGGTGGTGAGTGGTGGTGAGTAGTGGTGGTGGTGAGTGGTGGTGAGTAGTGGTGAGTAGTGGTGAGTGTACTAGTGGTGAGTAGTGGTGGTGAGGGCGTACTTGTTGTTGTCGGGTGAGCGGCTGCCGCTCTCTCTCCGTTTCTTGGGGGTCTCACTGCGAGATTTCCTACAGAGACAGCGGCCACCAGCGTGTCACTGTGTGTGTCACTTTGTGTCACTTTGTGTGTGTGTCACTGTGTGTGTCACCGTGTGTGTCACTGTGTGTCACTGTGTGTGTGTGTGTCACCGTGCTAGTGTGTGTCACTGTGTGTCACTGTGTGTGTGTCACCGTGTGTGTGTGTGTCACCGTGTGTGTGTGTCACCGTGTGTCACTGTGTGTGTGTCACAGCGTGTGTGTCACAGCGTGTGTGTGTGTCACCGTGTGTGTGTGTCACCGTGTGTGTGTGTGTCACAGCGTGTGTCACCGTGTGTGTCACCGTGCTAGTGTGTGTGTGTGTCACCGTGTGTGTCACCGTGTGTGTGTGTCACCGTGTGTCACAGCATGTGTGTGTGTCTCACCGTGCTAGTGTGTGTGTCACCGTGTGTGTGTGTCAGCGTGTGTCACAGCGTCACCTGCGTGGCGAGTACGAGCGACGTCTCCCCCCGCCGGCGCCGCGCTCTCTGCGTGGAGCGGGTGCGGGCGAGCGTGGTGAGCGTGGCGAGCGAGGCGAGCGTGGTGAGCGTGGTGAGCGTGGTGAGCGCGAGCGGCGCCGTGGTGAGTAGGAGCGCGAGCGCGAGCGACGTCGCCGCTCGTCGTAGCGCGGGGAGCTGCGGCGTCGCTCCTTCGTCTTCATCTGGTTCGGGGCTGGGGCACACGCAGAGAGAGATACACACAGATATAGAGATACACACACACATATATACATATACACACACAGATACATACACAGAGAGATAGACACATACAGATAAACATATACACACACAGAGAGATACACACACACACACACAGATACACACACATACAGAGACACACACACACAGATATACATACACAGATACACACAGATATACATACACACATACAGAGAGATACACACATACAGATATATACATACACACAGAGAGATACACACACACGCACAGAGAGATACAGACACACACCACCACAATCACCACACTCACCACCACCACACTCACCACTCACCACCACACTCACCACCCACCACACTCACCACACTCACCACCACATCGATACTCACTCTTGCGGTCCCCCTCTGCGAACTGAATCTCGATCTGGCGCCCACACACCCACTCACCACCACTCACCACACTCACCACACTCACCACCACACTCACCACCACACTCACCACCACACTCACCACCACACTCACCACCACACTCACCACCACACTCACCACCACACTCACCACCACACTCACCACCACACTCACCACCACACTCACCACCACACCACCACTGTGATACTCACTTTTGCGGTCTCCCTCTGCGAACTGGATCTCGATCTGGCGCCCGCACACCCACTTGCGGTCCAGGTTGTACATGGCGTCCTCGGCGTCACGGACATCCTCAAACCTGGAGCCTCGCCGTTAAGGATAAACCTCACCTTGCCAGCAGCAGCAACAACAACAAAAACAGCAGCAGCAACAACAACAACAGTGGTAGCAGCAGTGGTAGCAGTGGTAGCAGTAGCAGCAGCAGCGTCAGTAGTAGCAGCAGCAGCGGCAGTAGCAGCAGTAGTAGCAGCAGCAGTAGTAGCAGCAGCAATAGTAGCAGTAGTGGTAGTAGCAGTAGTGGTAGTAGCAGCGATAGTAATAGCAGCAGTGTTAGTAGCAGCAGTAGTAGCAGCAGCGGTAGTAGCAGCAGCGGTAGTAGCAGCGGCAGTAATAGCAGCAGTGTTAGTAGCAGCGGTAGTAGCAGCAGCGGTGTTAGTAGCAGCAGTAGTAGCAGCAGCGGTAGTAGCAGCGGTAGTAATAGCAGCAGTGTTAGTAGCAGCGGTAGTAATAGCAGCAGTGTTAGTAGCAGCAGTAGTAGCAGCAGCGGTAGTAGCAGCGGTAGTAATAGCAGCAGTGTTAGTAGCAGCAGTAGTAATAGCAGCAGTGTTAGTAGCATCAGTAGTAGCAGCAGCAGCGGCAGTAGCAGTAGTAGCAGCAGCGTCAGTAGTAGCAGTAGTAGCAGCAGCGGCAGTAGTAGCAGTAGTAGCAGCAGTAGCAGCAGTAGTAGCAGCAGTAGTATTAGCAGTAGTAGCAGCAGTAGTATTAGCAGTAGTAGCAGCAGTAGTAGGTGTGGTGGTCTCAAGAGGTAGCAGCAGCAGCAGGTGTGGTGGTGTTAAGAGGCGGCAGCAGCAGCAGGTGTGGTGGTGGTGGTGTCAAGAGGTAGGGAGTGCATGCAGAGGCAGACATCCCGCACAAACACTGCAACAATAACCACAACCACCACATCGACAACGACCATCACATCACCACCACCATCAGATCATCACTTCCATCACCCACCACTACATTGTCCACCTTCATCATAAGACCTTTCCCAGGACGCACTGAGGAGTGAGATGCCCCTGTAGTTATTACAGTCTGTGCAGTCCCCTTCCTTAAAGAGAGGGGGACCACCAGGGCATCATTCCAATCCTGCGGAACCCATCCAGTGGTCCAGACTGTTGTTATGATGTCAAGCAGGGCAGTCTGTGCACAAGCGCCATCCTCCCTCAGCATTTCGCTTGGGAGATCATCTCTGCCCGGTGCCTTTCCTGGTCTCAGACTCCGGATCGCCTTCAGTACTTCCTCAACAGATGGCGCCTCAGCCAGCCACTCACAGGGGGTGACTTCTTCCAATAATTGAGATAAAGTAGCCTCAGCAGGGTCGTCCCCACTTTGCCCCGTGATGTTTTCTGAGCCGAGGGGTTTCCCCTCCCCCAAGATCTTAAGGAGAAATGCTCAGCAAATGTGCAGGCCTGTTCCTGGGGGTCAGAGATCAGATCACCCGTTCTTTCCCCTAATGGTGGCGATAGGTGGTGGCGCTGCAGGTTACTTTTTTGATGGAGTTAACAAGTATAACCCGTAAAAACAAAGTTTTTCACTATAAATCCTTTATATGCGTGGCGGCTAGAGTCCTCTCGTCCTCTGGCTTGAGATGGCTGCCACCTATGGGTCAGATGATTGCATGGCAGCATTAAGCAATTGGTAATTAAATATATTTTTGTCCTAAAAAGTGTAAAATTGTGGAGAAAAAAATTTCACGAAAATTAATTGTCTCGCACAACGAGTCTGTGTGCAAAATGTCAGCTCGATTGGATCACGGGAAGTGGGTTAAAAAACGACCGAAAGATTTGCACGGTCCTAAGCAAGCAAGCGAACTTAATATAAAGGATTTAAAAAGTGATTTTGATCGCAGGCTACCGAGGCAGACTCCCATCTGCTCAGCAACCCGCGACCACCACCCATCCTTGCAGCGCCTCACGGCTCTCCGAACCTCCGAGCGAAGGCTGCGGTAAACCTCCTCATTCTCTCACGTGGGATACTGTAGCCGATGAGAGTGGGCCTGTCGCTTTTTCTCAGCCAGACGGAACAACTCCCTCACCCATTTCCCCTCGGCATCAGGAGGAGGTGGGGGATGATGCCAACCCCAGCCGCAAGCGACGATTAAATTCTCGCTTGCAACTTTCATCAGCTAGCCGAGACCAGGCCACTTTTGCTTTGAATGGGGTCCTGGGTGTACACCAACCACCGGAGTGGAAGAATGGCAGGCGCATCTTACGGATGGTCAGTGGGCAGATCAACGGCAGATCAACTCCCACGGTAGGTCCTGGTGTCAAGGACATGGGCTCGCATCCGCTGATCCATCACTACGTAGTCCAGCAGATGTTCTTGCTTGGACCCGGCATGCATCCATGATGTTGTGTGGATGCGCCGATGCCAGAACAGCGTGTTGGTAATTACAAGCCCATGGGCTGCACAAAAGTCTAGCAGCCTCCTACCGTTGTTATTGAGTTGATCTGGCCCATGCCTTCCAATCACTCCAGCCCAGGTGCCAGTGTCATGACCAACTCGGGCATTGAAGTCACCCAACAAGATGACTGTCCCAAGCGGCCACTTCAGCCAGTACCATAGAAGGCATCCGACTCACCGGCCTTGCCTGCATCCCTCCACTGATGTGGATCTTCAGTGGGGGCATCAATAACCACCACCACCACCACCACCCTCACCACCACGACCCTCACCACCACCACCACCACTCCTCGCCTCTGGTTGATGGGGGAGTAGCCTTGGGCTTACAGCTTGCCACACCTCGCCTCCACACTCCCACCTCTACATTTCACCACGTGATTCACCACCACATCATTCACCATCACCCCATCACACCACTCATCACCCACCACCCACCACCACGACCACCACACCACCCATCCACATCAACGCCCTCCCTCCCTCCCCCTCCTCTACCCACGTGTGGCCGTGCCTCAGGATACTCGGTGTCTCTCTCCCCCCACCACCACCACCACCTCGCTCGCTACGAGAGCCACGGGGAGAGACCTCCTCCTCCCCTCCTACTCCCCTCAAGAGCCACCACCACCCCCCTCGCTCTTTGGGCTTCATGGGAGGGGGGTGGGTGGGGTGGGCACGAGTGGGGGGCGTGAGTGGGGTGGGCAACAGCCTTGCCAATCGGCAGGGACATCCCCTCCACCACCACCACCAGTAGCAGCATCAGCAGCAGCATCAGCAGCAGCATCAGCAGCAGCATCAGCATCAGCATCAGCAGCAGCATCAGCAGCAGCATCAACTAAACCAAATGCAAGGCGCTTGTGCCAGGGGCTTGAGCCTTGCTTGGCGCTTGAGGCAGGCCTGGGGGCGGGGAGAGGCGGGGGGACCTTGCTTGGCACCTTGCTTTGCTCTTTGACCTTTGACCTTGCTTGGCTCTTTGCCTTTGACCTTGCTTGGCTCTTTGACCTTGCTTGGCACCTCGGCACTTTGCCTTGCTTTGCTCTTTGACCTTGCTTTGCTCTTTGACCTTGCTTGGCTCTCTGTGCTTTGACCTTTGACCTTGCTTGGGTCTCTGTGCTTTGACCTTTGACCTTGCTTGGGTCTCTGTGCTTTGACCTTGCTTGGCTCTGTGCTTTGACCTTGCTTGGCACCTCGGCACTTTGCCTTGCTTTGCTCTTTGACCTTGCTTGGCTCTCTGTGCTTTGACCTTTGACCTTGCTTGGCTCTCTTTGACCTTTGACCTTGCTTGGCACCTCGGCACTTTGCCTTGCTTGGGGGGCCTTGCTTGGCACTTTGCCTTTATCTTGCTTGAGGCTCTGGCCTTGCTTGGCACCCCTTGGCCTTTGACCTTTGACCTTGCCGCGTTAGCGTGCCTCTAACCCTGCCGAGCTCCATGGCCCCCACCCACTTTGTGACAAACTGGGTGGGGGGCACACAGCACGGAGGCATCTGGGACGACAGAGACACAAACGGCAGTCAAAGGGGTTTACCGCCCCCCCCCCAAAAAACCCTGCACCCCCTTGGGCCCCCCCCCCTCACCAAGCATGCGCTCACCACGCGGTGGCACGCACACAGACACACGGCTACACGACCCTACGACCCCAACTCACCTGCTCATCCCCCACCCCCGTGTGTGCATGTGTACGGTGTCTGTGTACGTGTGCGTGTGTGTACGCGTGTGTACGCGTGTGTACGCGTGTGTGTACGCGTGTGTGTACGCGTGTGTGTACGCGTGTGTGTACGCGTGTGTGTACGTGTGTGTACGTGTGCGTGTGTGCGCACGTGTGTGTGTACGTGTGTGTGTACGTGTGTGTGCGTGTGTGTGCGTGTACGTGTGTGTAAGTGTGTGCGTCTGTGTGCGTCTGTGTGCAAGTGTGTGTGCAAGTGTGTACATGCGTGTGCGTGTTTGTGCGAGCTCCTGAGGCTGGCAGTTCACCCCCACCATCTCAGCGGTGGTGACGGTGGTGGTGGTGACGGTGGTGACGAGGGTGGTGGTGATGGTGGTTGTGGTGATGATGGTGGTTGTGGTGATGATGGTGGTTGTGGTGATGATGGTGGTAATGGTGGTGATGATTATGGTGGTGGTAGTGGTGGCAGTGATGATTGTGATGGTGGTATTGGTGGTAGTTGCGGTGATTTCGGCGGTTGTGATCATGATCGTGGCAGTGCTGGTGGTTGCGATGACGATGCCGATGATGGTGGTGGCGATTGCGATGGTGGGTGCGATAAGTGGTGGTGGTGATCGCGGTGGTTGTGATGATGATAGTGGTAGCGGTTGTAGTGCGTGTTATGATAGTGGTGGTGCCGGTTGCGTTGATGGTGATGGTAGCAATGGTGGTGGTGGTTGTGATGATAGTGGTGGCATTGCTGGTTGCGATAGTGGTGGTGGTGGTTGCGATAGTGGTGGTTGCGATAGTGGTGGTGGTTGCGATAGTGGTGGTGGTGGTTGCGATGGTGGTGGTGGTTGCGATGGTGGTGGTAGCGATGGTGGTGGTGGTTACGATGATAATAGTGGTGGTGTTGTTGGTTGCGATGGTGGTGGTGGTTGCGATGGTGGTGGTGGTTGCGATGGTGGTGGTGGTTGCGATGGTGGTGGTAGCGGTTGCGGGTAAAGGATATTGCACGTAAGCGAATCCGCGTGGCCGCCGCGTGTAGTAGTCAAGCGGAATGTACACATCTACGATGGGGCCATAGCGACCAAACTCGCGCCTCAAGTCCTCGGGCCTTCAACAACGATAGCAGGACAGGGCACAGGGCGCGGTCAAAATAC